TCATTATTATTATTATCGGTAATGTGGACTAACAGTGCTGTTATAAAAGAGTTAATAACCCGCTAGTCGCTAAAATATTGAAATGTGTGCTAAATACACCAAAAAGCGCTAGATTAAGCTAGGTGCTAAAATTTCGAAATGCGCGCTATACATTCCAAAAAAGCGCTAAATCTAGTTCCCAAAGCGCTAAAATGACAGTACTGATTTTGCGTATATTATAAATACAATATCACGACATTTCGTTGCAAAATTTTTATTTTTGGTCGGATTCCGTTGTATGGCTTCGATGGAAGGTAAGTCTCAATACGATTCATCGGCGAAAAATCTCAACATAGCAATTCAGAAAAGTTTGTAATTTGTACAACTCCATCTATTACGTCCTTTGTGTGAGAAAAGATCCTTTTTAAATCTCTTTTTGTGTTTTAAGTATAAATATATTAATTATTATGGAACGTTTTTTTTACACACAAATCTTTTTATTACTATTTCTGAGATTTTATGGCGCCATTGAACAAATTCGAACATACATTTCAAAATAATAATCATTACTTTCGATAGAATTAACCAATTTTAATAAAACAAAGATTAAATGTAACTCGAAGATACGCTTTATGATTTTCTTAACGATTTCTTTGAAAATAAAAGATGTTTCCTTTAGACGTTGATGCGTTCATATAATAACAGACAAATAGACATACAGACAATTCTAAAAATTATAAAATGTTCTTATTTAATTATTTTCAGTTCCCCATAATGATTTTAGCCACCAAAATATATACCTATACAATGTACAGAAAGAGACACAACATGTTATCATCATTTTTATTATATGTATATATTTAAAGAGAGATGGCGCTGCTAACGTCAATTCTAAAAATAAAAGAGATTAATTGACGCAATTGATACATTATATAAAACGCAAGAGAACTTATAAATCAGTGCCTGCACAGTAATCAAAAAATAAAGTTTGACTCTCGCCAAAACCAACGATTTGTTAATAGCTCTTTTAAAATTTGATTTACCATATAGAGTACTCGGCGGTAAAGAATAAATTGAGTTTGTCAACACGCAGTAGGACAGCGAGTAATATAATAAAGATTAGCAGTAAATATGAAAACTCATCTACAGGAATAAACCACATTGCAATTGCATTACATTTTCACAACACCACCATCTATCGAAGAAATGGGAAAGCTATTGTGCTTCAGATTTAGTTAATAAGGTTAATATATTTTTGTATAATATATTTAATATGTTCTTTAATACTTTTGTTTACTGCGTTTTCGATATACATAATAATATCATTAATTTACATAATTTAACTATGATTTATGATACGATATTAGTTTAAAATGCACTTGATGACTCAAACAAAGCCACCGTTGAGCAAATTCGTACCTATACTTCCCTACCAATACTTCAGAATATTTATCATAACTTTTGATGGAATGAACTGATTTTAATGAAATAAAGACTAAATGTAACCCGAAGATACACTTTATAATTTCCTTAACAATTCTTATGATATAAATTAGTACTTTATACGTGATACGTTAACAAACAAACAGACAGACAGACAGACAGACAGACAGACAGAAAATTCTAAAAATGGTAGAAATGTATTTAATTACTTATTTTTAGTACCCCTCAATCACTTTTATTACAAAAATTTAAAATGTACAGACATCTGCTATTTACAGTTTTATTATATGTATAGATGTTGTGTTGGTAGTCTTACCAACACAACATCTATACATATACTATTTTCGTTATACGAAAATAGTATAAATATACTAAATGGCAACATTTGAATAGAGTAAAATGATTTAAGTCATTTGATATTCCCAAAAATGTTTGTTTTTTTTTCTGTGGCTTCAATAAAAATACATTTTTATTTGAAAAATCATAGAAAAATAATAAAACTAATTTTATATATAACTTATTTCTAGACGCTATAATTTTTGTCAACTATTTTTCTGCCATTGCTCTTTATAAGTCTTCCAGCTGGGGAAAAAGAGTGGGAGATGGTTCTGCTATGGAGGAATCAATGTGTAGTAAGTAGTCTTTTAAAGAAATTGCAGAAGGGCTTTAAAGAAGGAAGGGAGATCCCTCTGAGGAGGAATCAAAGCATAAAAAAGCATATCTAGTCTTCCACCAGGAATGTGAAATAGTGGGGAATATCCTGCAGATAGTATTCAGTTAAGAAATATAGCTATTCTGTCAGAAGTTATATACTACACTAACAGTATAATATTCATTTTTATATAGGGTGTTCGGAAGACGGGTGCAAAGCCTAATGGGGATGATACCTTAAACCATTTAGAACAAATTAGGCTAAGCTTGTCTTAGACAAAGTCTTTTTTGCCAAATTAGCAATTAATTGCTAATAGTGGCCAGAAACAGTCATGTGTGATTACTCAAACAAAATAATTTCCAAGCATCTTCATTATCAGAAAAACATTCAATGCATATTTAAGTTTAAGAAACCAAAAACAAATTAAGGAAATGTTGTGTTTATGCCATCATAAAAAAAAATATAGTTCAAACCCTTTTAAAAACATGTTGAGTTATTGCCCTTTCTTTTGACATATTATTTACACAGATCATCAACTCTTGGGTTTAAGGTGTACAAAGCAAATTGTGGACAGATATTTTTAATTTTTAACAGACCAATACAATCCTAATAAGATATACTAAAATGTTTTAAATACAATTATCAATGAGTTTAATGCTGAAGGTATGAATTCCACACAGAACAAGTATTTGTATGGCCCATAAATTGTTCTGGGTCTGGATGTTTGTCATATACGCAGGATACAGGAGGAAATCTTAATGTGAGGGCACCATTTTAAAGAAAAAATTGGTAACACATTCCAACAACTATTAACTTTTAGCAGAATAGTTTGTTCTGCTAGTCTGGGGTTGTTCAGTAAAAAAAAATATTCAGGCTCTGGTAAGTATAATATAGGTCCAATTTTTAATAAAGGTGCAATTTTAATATTATTTATGATTATGAAAATAGTTACTTTAGTGACACTTGACCATACTTTTTAAAATATCAGTACACAAGTTTGACTAATTTAAATCATAAAATGAAACATTTTGTCAATTTGTGTTACTCATACCTGTCAGTCGTGTGAGTAGCAGTAGTGCATTAGCATTAGTAGTAGTAGTAGTTATTGGTACTATCACATTTTTGTAATATTTCAAAAAAGTATATTTCTGAAATTATGTATTTCCTCACTTTAATATTTCGGTATTTAATACATCTTTCTATCACACCTTTATACCATAACACACCTTTATACCATAAATATACTAATAATGTAAATAACAAATTGTCACTTCAATAAAAGAAAATCAAAATACTTATACACAGATTCCATGACTAATTTGTGGGATATAGGTTTAGTCTATTTGGGTTAGATTTTCTGCTAATTTTAATTCATTGCTAGAGTTACACATGTGTCAATTGTGAATGATTCATTCATTTGACCCCGGTTGCATCAAAGTATTGGTGATTGCAGTTACATTTTTTGAACATACTGGATCAAACGATTGTCAGAACCGAACCTACAACCAAAGAGTATATAGTAATGTCTGAGGACTGACATTATCAAACAGGTCTCACAGATCTCAGAATACTGAAATTTGAAATGATCCATGTAAATGATCAACCCAAATGACTCCGTTCGTAAGATAAATCAATATTCAAATTATTGGCTCACTAGAAATCTCGTCCGATGCCTATGATTTATTACGCTAAGGCGTAGAGGCTGCTCTTCCTGCAGTGACGGAGACATAGCAGTCTCAAAATAGATACCGAAATCCTTCTAAATCAGTCCCCCTATATTTTATGATGAAGGGGATTTTTTTCTCATAAAATGGATTTATATTTACATTATAAATGCAAAGATGAAAAAAATATAGATATTTTAGAAATCTATTTTTTGGGAATCGATACGTCAGCTTACAATTCGAATCTATTTAAAAAATTCGATCTTTTTCGGAAAGAATCGACATCTCTACTGACAATAACAATAAAAAAATGGTGTGAGTTTTATTGTAGGATTAGACATCAACCCCCAACTCGATGGGAGTCAATGGAAAGTCGTACCCCACTTTTTTAGTAAAAAAGGTCTCCGATTCTCTACACTCACCAGCCAGCAGCATAGAAACACAGCAGCCCTTAACTGCTATTTTATGCTAGTATTCTATGAGAGTGTGGTCCCTCCCCGGTCAAGCCGACCCATTCGTGCTACAACTACAATTAATGTATCTGCAGCATGGCTCTACCACATTTAAAATGCTAAACTACTGAGATTAGCACTTATAAAAACAATGATACATCTAATGTGCATGAGAGAATATTATGATGATGACATATTCCCCCATCACACCATTACTACATTTATTTGGTATTTAAAGTATTATGGTTAATGTATTTACTATAATACTTTATAGTAAATACATATTTTAGTAAAGTACAAGTTCAATTATAAACATAGATATGCCTCCAGGTTACATTCAAAAAATCAAATCAAAAAATCTTTATTCTCAAACCAGTAATACTTAAAATTAAATAGGTACATTATTGGAACACTCCTTTTAAGTTATGGATATACATTCAATCCAATTATCCAATCAAGAGTGCAATGCTATTTTCTGACACTAGGAAGACATAGATTATCCACTGATATTGAAAGATGCTTTTCATGTTTGTAAAATATATTGATAAAAGGTTTGTTACAAAAATCTAAATGAATTTATAACAAACATGCTAAAGAGCAGTAACATCAACATCAAATTTCGAAACCAATGCAATCTAATAATCATTTCGCGATGATATCAATGTCGTGCAACATTACTAGTTAGCAGAACGCTATTGCAAGTGCGGCAAATGCATTCTTAGATGTCGAAACTAAAAAAATGTTTCGTGCGTTTAGTACATCAGGTACCAATAACTTCATCGCCGAATAACAATGACCTCAACAACTTACCTTCTCGAACCGTTGTCTGTATTCAGCCTTTTCTATTTTGTCGTTTTCCAACTGTGAAATTTTAGCAGTCAGCTCATGTAAAGCTTGATTTTCTTTTTCATTTCTTACTGCTAAATTCTCCAATAGCTCAAGAGCATTGATAACTTTCGGCAATAGCGCCGTTACAGCATCGGGGCCGTATTTCTCTATTATAATTTCGCATTCCTTTCCTATATCTGACGCCAAATCGTAAACGTCGACGACGGTAACTTCGTCATCGAAATCTGGCATTTTAGCAGAGAAGCGCCTGCGGTACGGCATTAATAATCACTTTGTTTTCACTTCACCACAAAACATAAACTTGCGTTAAGAAAAAGTATCCACCTTTCGCAAGTGCGCCATCCATTATTACTAAAATGAGTGAAATGTCAAGTTGTCAAATTTGTAATACTAGAGATGTTCCGGAGATAGCAGAAAAGCTTAACGTTATTTAAAACAGCGTATGTAATATAGCATTATTTACTTTTTGGAACCAGAAGGGTTAATCTTTAAAGTTCCGTAATTTTCACCAATTTTATGGATTAGTAGTTATTTAAGGCACGCAAGACTATCACCATTGCAATACACATTCAACAATATGTATTGAGGTTTGTGTCATTGCTATGGGCCTATGATTATTATTTTATTCGATTTTAGGTCACCCGAGCTAAGGCCTGCACTTGCAGTAAAGTTACGCAAGTAAGTCATTTTAGAATTCCAATACTGGAGAAGTATTTTTTCATGATTTCACCATCAAACGTGCACTTGCATGTTTAATAGTAGCCGTACTTGTTAAATTGAGCAAACGGGTTTGTACGCTCAAACTTAAGATGCCAAAACACCAAGAGTTGGTAAGAAAAAAAGTTTTGTTATTTTATTTATATCAAAAAATAAGCGAGTAATTTTGTATACACGTACGAAGTTCACACGAACTTCTTTACGACATATCATTCTTCTTTTATTTTATATTTTACATATGTAGGTTAAATATTAGTGTACTTATGCAGCCTCGGAGGTGAAACGTTAATAGAAAACGTGACGCTTTTAATTTTTAATACCATACTAAGTTTCTTCCCTACGTCGATAAAGAAATTTTACGTAAATAAATTTAATAATATAAATATATGCCTTGAACAATTTTTCCTACGCTGTACTGTTATCTCTTTTTTTTATATATTCAAGCTAAAAGTTATTATAAAGAAATACATGCCTTCAATAATTTTTCTGGCGTAATTTACGCTTCACTATTATATAATAAAAGAGTAATTAATTATTTTTTAATTAAATGTCAACAATGTTATTGGTGCGGTTAGTTTTAAGTGTGTTTTAAACTAAGTAGCGCTATTAGTACCAGTTTTATATCAGAATTCCGTTCTAAAAATCTATTAGTTTATCATGTTAATGCTAACAACAGCGCGAATTACATAACAGCACTAGCGAAAGAAGATTAAAAATTAATGTTACCAGCAAAATATACGTAGATTTGTCGTTATAAAAAATCAATTAAAAGAAATTTAGTAGGTATTGGTAGAATAGTTAAGTACGATACATTTAGATAACCAGATTTATTTCAAGGAACTGGCTCGTAGTTTGTAGCTTTATATAAATTTTGATACGATTTTTTTTATTTGATTTGTTTTGAAAAGTTTGTATTTAAAGCTATTATATCTAACAGACCTTTTTTAATGTTCGTCGGTCGAATTTAACTATTGAATCTTAAGTGAAATTACAGATTTTTGTAACATTTCTACATTTATTTTGTTAAATTTGAGTTATTTTCTCACGTTCAACAATTATTAAATTATACCGATTGCTATTTTCATGTTCGTTGTTAAATATCGATTATTAGAAGTCGCCACGCGCGAAGCCGCGAAGGAAAGCAACAGTTGGATGGAATCAACAGGCGGGAACGCGCGGTAATCTATTTCCTGTTTAGAGTAAACAAAATACTTAATTTCGTATTTTTAGTGCAATGAACTATCAAAGTAAAGCTAACAAATATGTGTGTCCAAACGATAGACAACTTTCTTTGCGAGCCAAGTGAGTAAAATATTTTTGTTTTACAGTTTGATCATAACATATGTCAAAGAAACGTCTTCAAGTTTCAAAGTTAAGTTTTCCTCTACTATTTATTAATAATACTTATAATTCATAAGTAAATAATGTTAATATTTAAATTTTTAAATTTTTTATCATTTAAATAGTTTGAAAATTAATGACTAACTAAGAAAGTATTACTAAAGTATCTAAATATGTTTTTTTTTTAAATATAAATAGACATTTTATAAAAAAAATAATCAAGCTCCTATTTCAGATTGTCATCATATCTAGTTTAAATTTATATGCTAGTCCCATTATGTATATGCGCTAAGATAGAAAAATTAATAAAATCAAAATAAAGATTATGTTACTTAAAAATAAATCAAAAATATGTAGACGAACATGAGGACCTGTCCATACCTCATCTATTTATTTAAAGAGTGCGGTTAATAATTTTTTGTATAGTATTTACATGGGTTCCGGACCTAAAGAATTTTAGGGTTTGACGTTCGTGTTTCTTACATTTCTCTTACTCTCTCCTCTCTCTACTGCGTGAATCATGCATAAAATATATCTGGAAGCTGTATTCTTTATTTGACGATAAAAATAGATAGTAAACATGAAATATGTACACTTTCAGAACCTGAAAAAGAGATCGAAACCTTAAATGGAATCATATGCAACAAGGTTAAGTTTTTTATTGAAAATACTACGAACATAGGTATAATATGTTTTCATATTATAAATGATTAGGTAGTAGAACAAGAAATTAATACTTTAAACTGTGGAATGAAATTAGGATTTCAATGTAAGGGAACATAATCGTTTCAGTCATGAAAATTCAACTAATAGTTTCGCTTAAGAAAGCTTTTCATTTCATCCACTTTGTATAAAAATGTTTGTATTGGTTAAATTGGCATTTTTGTCGTTCAGGTATAATGGTCAACTTTATCGGTTCTCACCGTGGATACTAGCAGATTTTGATGCCGAGCAGGAAAATTTATGATTTTCTTTGGTTGGTGTTCCAACATTGGATGGAGCTAGATTTCGCAACTGGAAAACTCTTTTGATGTTGCATCTCTATTCTGATTTAATACGCATCGACATTTACCAGATTTCTGAATCTGCCTGTCTTTTCTTGTACCATTCTTTCTCTTGTACCATTTCTTGAACCTCAATATATATTATCATACCCTTCGGACCATTTTGTTTTCTTGGATTGTGGAAGTCCAGTTCCGTCATTAGAGGAATCGCTATCTGTCTCGGGGATTATAATAGATTTTCTGTGATTTGCAAATTGCCCAGAAAGAATATATTCACTATCAGAATCGAAAATTAATTCATTATCGCCTGGAAAGCCATCATCAGGTATGAGATTAGCATGCTTATCAGTGACCTGAATTTATTCTGCAAGCAAAGAAACACAATTCTTTGCATTTGGCTTATAATACCCCAATACATACCTACTAAACCATTCAACATAGTTCCTACAAAAAAGCAGTTAGTAAGCCTACGAATGCACACGAAATAGTATAAGGTTTCATAAAAAAACCCCCATATCATAATTTCTATTTAAAATATATCTGAAATTAAAAAAAAATATAATAGAATATTATTAAACATAAAATAGAACGGAAAAACAATAAATTTTAACCTTTATTTGAAAATTGCTTAACATTGTTTTAGAAAAACTAATTTCAAATTAGGAATTTACAGATACTCAGTTAAACTTCACACACTCGCATGCAAAAGTGGCGTTATTATTAAACTGGTATTAGACCATGGTTAAAAAAAAATTAAAGACCGAAACATAATATAAAGATTGTGTTTGGTTAGTACTCGCGTATTGTTAATCCAAACACAACGAATCATATTAGATTCTCCTATGTAATAGGGTTAAACAGTCCAATTAATAGGTAGGCTTCGATACAAATAACCTATTTGATGTAATTGAGTAAGCCGACGAAGACCAGCCTTATGGCAACTTTAATTAAATGATACAAAATACACTCAGTGTATACTTTTATATAATTTTATTCGAAGCTATGTTTATTTCTGTCCCTACTACGTTTCAATTTTTTAAGGACCTTTGTACAACAGCCATAGAAAAATAGTTTTCGCTCAAACATCTCTTATAACATAGTTTGCCTAATAAGGAAGTTAATGATATCGGAAACATGATTGTTAATGTGTAGTTTGGTATTTATATTTAAAAAAAAATGTAACGAATGGCTTACATACTGAAAAACGGCCATCTACAAGCCGGTCCAGGTAATTTTTTTTATTATTTATTTTATTTATTTACCAAAACCAGAAACCTACAACTCCATGTCACTTAGATCTATTGTCATCACTCATCAGCATTATTACAGCGTATCAAAAGACAAAGTCCACTGCTAAGCTTACGCGCCCCATAGATTGACCGACGGATGTTTACCATAATTGCCACACTTCACTGGCATGACCGCAGTTTTATTACTTAGTTCGTAATCAAGAAGATGCTGCTGCCCATCTCCTGTTCCATTTCCTTCTGTCACTCTGACGAAACCCACGGAATGATATGGGGTGGGGGGTTTTCTTACGCCGTGCCGCTATTACATTGCATTGTACGGGTTTATTGCAAAGCAAAAAAAAAAACTGTACCTATAGCACTCATTATCAAAAAACTATCGTTTACTCTCCTAACCGCCCTAATAAACCAGCTCTTTTTAGGATACACAAACAATACAAATTTAAAGAAATATATATATTGTTCTTATTATTTATTTTCCAAAGAATCTAATACTTTACATATCGGACGTGATCCTAACGACAAGGGACACCGGTGTAAGTAGCCACAAAAAGCAGCTCAAGACTGCTTTTAAAAATCGCATTCTCCATTTAATTTTCTTCTATTTTAAAAATCAATACGTGTACAGTGTGTATTAAAGATCTTGATTAAAGATTGGTCTGCTCGATTTTGTTTTTTACTTATATGCTCTAAATTGATTGGCTGCAGTTACCCATTAAAAATTAAATACCGACTAAAAAAATGTATTGTAGTGAGTTTCGATCAAAACATCCTACAACAATACTCGTAGAGATAGAGGGAGAATCCGTGCTATAAATTTAGTTGTATTTGCTAGTGAACGTGTTAAGTACTATCGTAAGGCGTAAGCTACTAATGTCATTTTCAAAGAACTTATATTATGCCCAGATCAAATAATATGATTTTATAAAAAAAAAATTCAAATTACAGTTTTCAATAAAATTGCTGGAGAAATTAAAACGAATTTTAAAGCGTTATTACAATATATTGATTTTTTGGACGTTGACTGAAGCCTGGAAATTTTTCCAAGATTTTAATCAACTGCAGCCGGATCCCTAATTCCAGGCCCTGGTAACAACAATATGCGTGATGTATGACTCACGACAACTTAAAAAATAAGGGAAACATTTCATTTCTTTTCTAAAAATAGACAGTAAGGTCGCATTGGTAATGATAGCTTGTACCATGGCCTTGCGACGCGGCGACATTCCCTTATCTCATCGCCTACACATCCGCTTCCCGCTTTGCTTCGTTTTTCATTAAAACTTCATTCCGATATGTACTCGTACAATGTACAGTTTGACATATTGTTTTGTTGGGATTTATGCTACCAGCTGTGTCCGCGCTTTCACACTCGCAAACATGTATCATCCTTCGCATCCTCATAATATATAGAAATGAAACTCTGTTGAATATTAGTTATAACTACTTCTTGTTGGTCTTATATATACTATATGTATAACCATGGCAAAAATTCTAAAACTACAAACTTAAATTATCATACACTCCCCGCAGTAGGTATAGTGCCAAGAATGCTGTCTGGGTTTCCTCGGTGCATGGCTAAACTTAGTCTTTGAGCGACAAACTAATTGGTCTCAAATAACATACATAAGCACTGGAGCAGCGCGGTGGACAAACAGTTCCATAATCTTCTCAGAAAAGAGACCCTTGTGTTCTTGTGTGTCTTGTAAATAAATAAGTAGATTCGCCGTGTAGTCGCGGTGAGAGAGAATCTACTACCCCTTATCATCCAGTAGGCACAGAGTACCTAAATGTTCTAAGAGACAACAGAGAAGATCACTGAAACAGGAGATGGGACACAGCATTTTCCTGCATCGTCCATACCAGGAAATCTAAGGGTGTGACTTATATTCAGCGGTAGACTTTTGATTGGCTGTAATAAATTAATGAAAGAATAAAATAAACAAATAATGAATTATTGCTTAAGAACCAATGAACCAATATAGATAAAATACAGCAGTGTACTTTTACAGGCCAATGAAGAAGAAGAAAAAGATGTGCTTATGTTCAACTAAAAACGTAGGCTGACATTTTAAGTTTTTAACGTGGTAGAGCCATTCTGCCGCTATAATGTAGTTGTAGTACCAAAGGGTTGGCTTGCCACGCTCTCACAGAATACCAGCTTTAAATAGTAGCTAAATGCTGCTGTGTTTCGTATGGTGAGTATAGAGAATTCGGAGACCCTTTTTATTAGAAACAAGGCATTCCATCTTGGGCCTCATGAGTGACAACGCATTTGCATTTTGATTCTTAAATGAGGATAGACGGAAATGACTATGGACCACACCATCCATTTGCCATCAGTTGGACTGTTTGTTTGTAATTCTGTAAAATAAAAGTTATATAAATTATTTACAAAAATGGCAAGTGCGGAATAAAAGAGTTCACAATGTCGAGAAGACAGTCTCTTTTTAATTCCTTCTATTAGTTATTACTCCTTACAGTAATGCTCCCCTATAAAATATGATCAAATACCCTTTTCCATTCTATATGTAGGTATTATACAAAATCCATGACATACTTTCTAAATCGCTACGTATTATTCTTTGTGACCCATTCATCTTATCTAGGTTTGGCTACGGTCCGTAGTCCGTAGTCTACGGAAATTTTAAGGGGACTAAAAGAGCTAAACGCAAGTTTTATAATGCCTTAAAGTATATAATCTGCTGCA